TATGTTCTTGTTTCTGTGTATGTGGAAGTCGCCACATCATATAGGTAGGGGGGGGGATTCTTCACAATACCACGTCTGGTCACAGGGGTGGGGGGAGGACTTAGATTTTCGTCACGTAGTCAAAATCATATCTGACAAGTACTGTATTAATAAAGACAAATATGAGCCAATTTTTATAACCTTGGTTGGCATAAAAATTATTTAAAACGATATTTAAGTTAATAAATGAATTTGTGATGGCCGAGGGCTCAGGGGTTCAAAATTGAAAAAAAATTTATCACGTAGTTAGTATAGGTTCATTTTACCTTATTAGGCCATAACGAACATATTGGTATACGCTACACGGGCTTCTATGAGCTACTGCGGTCTCAGTCCTCCTTTTACCCAATTGAGATTTGCGGAAACCTTTGCTACCTTGCCCTATAGATTTTCCTAATTCAATTTGACCTCTACTTTTGTTCTGTCCTAGACGGTTACATTCCCAAGGATATTTATAGTTAGATTAGCCGGCGACCTTTTTTTTTTAAGGAAGTCCCTGGTGCAGAAAGGATGTTGTTTAAAATAAGTTTAATAGTGAGAAAAGTTTAAGAGTGACATAAACCTTAAAAGCCTTAAAATAACGAAGTGAAAATCGTTTGACCTAAATTGTCACCATATTTCCAACTATTCAAGATACCAAAAAAAAAACCTAGCACCTTCCGCCAACCGATTCCTAACGGATCCCGAAACAAATTTCTGGCAACATTTGCTTATGGCGTGATGTCCCGATTGTACAACTGGTACGTGTCTCATTGTTTATTCAAATTCGAGCCGAGTGGGCCCGGGTTCCCACGGGTCGGAGCCTGGCACCACTATACGCCTAACGAGCATAGGGCCTGGGATATTTTTTGAATTCGTTACAGTGGGTCAAATATAAAAAAAAATAAGTCAATAGGTTGCAAAACTTAGTTCATCTTATGATTTTTTGTAGGTTTTTATCGATTTACATTGACCTAATATCTTGCATCCTACACATACTAATTGAAGTTATTAGATATGTAGTAATTACTAATACCGCTTCAGGAACAAGATAATCAGTTTAACATTAATATTCAATTACTGACGGGATGTTTTAGTTGTTTTTCAATTAAGTAAGTTAACAGATCAAGAATATTTTATTTATCAGAAAAGAAAGCCTCGGATACTGTAGGTTCCGCACTAACCTGTATGTAGACCATCTATCTCGGCAATCGATTGCCGAGTTGTCCTAGTTTTTTTTTTTCTGATTAACAAATTTGTATTTGTCTTTTTAAAAAGGTTTCCCCGAAATGTCGGTATACGTGACACTAAATTACCAACCGCAAAACACGCATTGCTACAAAAAATACTGTCTACGGAAACTTAACCGTTTTACCTATTTACCACTTTTCATGGAACATTATTACTTGCAAATAGATTTCGTTCTACCTTTTCTCCCCTCTCAAAATTGTGGAAGACTCCTATAAATGTTTGCACACAACAGATTTATAAAAGTTAAGCCATGGAAATCATAACACGGCTTCAGCGATGCTCTGAACGTGAACGAACGAAAATGTCCTCAATGCATTACCCCTTTTGTCGTGAATTCTTCTAATACTCGTAAATAATGTATCGCTTGCACGTAGCCAGTAGGTACACATACCCTAGGTTTAATTTTGCATAACATTACCCCACATTACCCACCCTCAACCCCAGCGACCTCGTCACGAATCTAAATTTGTGTAGGTACACCCGACTTTCACTTCAGTGTGTTAATTTTTACTGATTTATCGATATGTTTATTATGATACAGTAAAATAGGAAAATGAATACGGAAAATAAATAAGAAAGAACCGATTTCATCTTTCTGTAGCCCTTATTCTTCTACATACTTTCATCGTATTGGTAGAATGCTTTTGTTTAACATATCGATAAAATATAAAGTGGACCATCACATCTCTCTTACAGTAATTAACGAAGGTTTTTGTATATTAATCAAAAATACCTACAACCGTTAGCTTCTCTGACTGGACCTGTGCACAGCTCATCAAAAAGTGACATCAAAAAGCACAGGACATCAAAAAGTGGTACTTGAATCAACAGTCTTTCACAGTCCACTGCTGGACATAGGCCTCTCCTAAGAAAGGTTTTGGCCTACTATACCACGCTGGCCAGACGGGTTAGTATAGGTTTTGTTTCAAGTTTTCCTTTTCTTTACAGTGCTGCAGTCCTGCGCAGTTTGCTCCTTTGTCATATTAACTTCTACCAAACGATGATTTATGGGAGTGACACTATTACCGATAAGTATCATTAAATGATAATACATACCATGAATAACCCGTACACTAAATACATTTCGGTAGGATCGATCATAAATGGACATTATTTACACATACAAACTTGACATGCAAAAGAACAAGGTAAAATACTTAAGGGCATTAAGTTTCAATAAAATAACTACAGTATTTTTATTTTTAAATTTTATTAACAAGGCAATGTACACGATTGTAGAAATTTCTCAAGTGTTTTATAAGACGGTCTCAATCCATAAGACATGATAAGGCTTGAAGTATAACGAACTACTAAGAGGCTTTATTTTATTGATATATTATAAACTTATAGATATGTGGTTTTATTCATTAATCTGTACTCTAGCTTAAGTGTATAACAAATATACATACTGCCAGGGGATAGTCCAATAATTACAATCGGATTCGATTCCCGCTCAAGTCAAACATTAGACTTTTAATTTTTGATTAAGTCTGGGTATTTCTATGTATAATATGTATGTACATCTTTACAAAAAAAAGTTTATATGTACGCGTATTTATATCAGTTGTCTAGTACCCATAGTACAAGCTCCGCTTAGTTTAGGGCAAGATGGCGTTGTGTGAATGTGGTAGATTATTAATTATTATTAATCACGTGAGGCTCGAAAGGGGGAGGGGGGATTGGTTCTGAAAAAAATACACGAAATATCACAAGGAGGGTAGGGGGATATAATAAGATATCATGTGTTTTTCGTTGAACGTACGATTTCATTTCGATGTACAAATATATATTTTTATCTGTTTTTTGTATACCTTCCTTTATTATTTTTATGCCAGTTAACAACAAGCTGCAACCTTAATGTCTGTCTAGACATTTTTATCACGTTGCTTAATTTTCCAAAATTTAATCAGATTATACTTACTTGTATTTAAAGATAATATTCTGAAAATTTCAAGATACTTTGTATCAAAAAAATACACTTGATTTTTAGAGTTTAGACTAAATCCCCAAGATTTACTCTAAACACTCACCACATATCATCAGGGTAGGTGGGGGTTAAAAAGTAAAAAAAATACATTATTAATGGACGACCACCAGCAAGAAAGAACAATACACACATACATTTGTGTATTGTATTATGTTTTAACAGTAACGCTCCGGTATCCAATAACATAGTAGTCATTAGCCCCTCATGCTGCCTGTCAAACAATATATTGTATCTTTGATCTTTCAGTTAACAATAGACACTGTTTTATGCAGGTACATAACTGTGATGAGTCGTTTTGGCCACTATACATCTACATATATGTATAAATATCGTTTTGTATTGACATATTGTAAAGCAATACTTGGAACATAGCATTTATTCAGTTTGCTAATGAGATTAAAAAAAATATGAACACTTGAGTAGTGTTCATATTTTTTTCATAGTACAAGCTCTAGTTAGTTGGAAACTAGATGGCGTTGTGTATCAAATGTCAGAAAAAATATTATTTTTATTAAAGGTACTCGTCCAGTACATAATCTAAGTTAAGAAAAAAATGTGTGCTGTAAAATAAAATACATCATTTGTTTGTAATACAAAATATTTATTTTACCTAAATATTAATATATTATGTATTTATTTCTAAATAATTATATAATTATAATACTTTCTTTATAGGCCTAACCGTTTATAATTTAATTAAATCTAGTCAATTAAATGATATGTTCATAATATATTTAACTATATTAGTATAATTGCCTTACTTATCTAATCATACATTATGTAAAGCTTCTTACATAAAAGGAATGAACCCATATTTTGAAATAAATTAATTGTTATTAACTTTTTAATTATTTGCAATTGAATAACAAACAATTAGCGATTTGTTTTATTTTATTTAATCATTATAATTGCGACATGTACGTGTTACACACAAATTAATGATTGCAATTCCATTGACAATTAGTAAGGTTTTGAGTTAAATGTAAGGAATTGAACAATTTGTTAACACACTTATACAGTTCAATTATATTAAGTTGTAAAATTTAGATCCTTTACACTTAGGAATACTGTCTTAGAAATGCCTTATTAATTCGTGTTATGTATGTTTATATAATTACATTTATATTCACTAAGAAATACAAGGAATTATATAAACACTAACACGAGAGATATTTACGTTGCGCAATTTCATTATTTCTATTTACAAAATAACAAAATGCTTCATGAACAAATATTATTGTTATTAATAATTATATTTATATTAACATGCAATATAAATAATTACATTTACTGATATAAGGACATTTCCTTTATAATGGATGATATCCACGTAGTAATATGTTATCAATTGTTGTAAGTTGATCTTACAATAACGAAACAACAAAATATGATATAAAATATTATCACAACACACGAAGTAAAATATCACAAATTATAAACTAATCTTACATTACAGACAGATTGGGCACATCAAAATAACACTTTTAGCCTTTTAGTAAAGCATACACTAATTATGAGCTGACATACTAGCTTAATAGTTACCCAATTAAAAAAAAAACCGCCAATGTATGTCAACAGTCACATTATAAATGTTGTTTATAATTTCTATAGTATCCTAATATATCACCACCACGCTTTAGGCGAAATTTTGACTAGTTATATGGCGATTCCATTAACAAGTAATGTGCCAATCATAAAATGCATTGAATTGAGCAATTGATCCAACTTTTTCATTCGACTAAATTTAACTCTTGGATGTGAATATGTTCAAGAATTTCGTCTTGATGTTAAGGAGGGTGGTGAATGACCTCTTCACTTTCTTCTTCGGCTTCAATACTTCTGGCCTCAAGAATGGTTCCGAGTATGATTTCTGCATCACGGGATGATTTGACTCGACCTCTTTAGGCAACTGGTATTTGTACTCTTTTACGACCTTTTCTTCTGTTTGATCATACCTGTACAGTACTGAGTACGTACGCTTGACCTTCTTAGGTACCCTCGGAGTATTTGCGGTCCTGTCACTTTTGCACCTTTTGACTTTGTTGCGTCCGTAATAGTCCTGGTAACTGTCAGCATCTACATAAATGAAGCGTTTTCCGAGAGCCTGCTCCCTTTCCTTTTTCAAGCTTTTCCACGATGCAATAACCGACTCACGACGGAACGTCTTATTAGGATTGTGGCGACTGATAAAGTAGCCTGGCTCATCTTGTATGTTCGATGTGTCTTTTAGTGGAGAGCCACGTGGGCTTGGACTGTAGTCAATCTCGTAGTCGTCTTTTGACACCTGGAATAGAAATAAAGCTTTGATCAGTCTTTATGAATTTACATAAACAACTATTAATGCTAATCTCCAGCCGTCTCAAAAACAACTCTCGGCGAGTGATCTCTTGAACTATTTAAAGTATCAATAGAACGTCCCTACGTGACTGTCAGAATGTAAGGCCAGGCCATTCCTCTATCCCTTTCTATTATTAATAGGATCTATTTAGTCCATGTTCAGCACGTTCGTCATTCGAGCCCTTCGAATGGTGACCACATGTCTGACGCCACCTGTCGTGAACGCCATGTGTCTCATTCTACGAGATCTTGGCAAGGCTTATGACGATTTTTTAAATTGCAACCGTGAACTGTCTAGGAAGCTGGTTCAAATCATTATATTTATTATTATTATTTGTCATCTTAAGGTTGTTCATCTTTACAAAGGGCTCTGATATTTATGATGTCATTATGAAACGAATACTTTTCGGTGAATGGTCGAACGATAAAAAAAGATGTTTATACGAAAGGCCTTTAGTAAACGATTTTGGGTTTTGCTTATGTACGCACAGAAATAAAAGCTTTTAAGTTAATGAGCCGATTTGCAGAAGAACCCCGCGGTTAAGCGCGTTAGTTACGAGTTAATTTGATTTTATTATTATGTAATGTTTTATGGTTTTCTTGGAAGCAGAGTGTATGACGTTGTCGGCCAATGGTCAGATAATGGGTCACGCAGAAATAGACACGGTTTATTATCGGAGTTCGTTAGAACATGGTACAAACTAAATGGTGGCTGAAAACTAATGGAGCTGCCTCCATAGATTAATTTAAATGCGAATGGAATAGCAATTAGATTATATTCTAAATAATAAATTCTAACCTAACCCTGTGTTCAGGTACGTGGAATGTTAATATGAAAAAAATATTTCTTTCGATAAAATTGGTACAGTTCATTTGTAACTGTCAAACATGCAACTGGTTTTCAGTGTACTTTTTTTTTAAGTTCTCATTAGCAAAATAATTAATTTTTCTATTACATGTTTAAGAAACTAAATATTTTAATGCTTACTGACAAATTAGTGTGACTTTGTTATTTGACAGGCTCATATAGTATAATGGTTTTTAATGGGTTTGTGTAAAAAACAGTGAACTATGCGAATTTAGGTCGCGCTGTAAAAACAGGTCGTTTTTAAATAGTTGGCCTATTAGTTGACTTAGTTAACACGGTCTAATTAAGACTGTAAATTAAATGCCACACACCGAGGCAACTCGTTTTTTCTTTTTCATTTGGTTAACCTTGTGCGTTTACATTTTTCAGGTAATTTTTTACTGTCCATCAATGTGCAGACATGCGTCGCTGATCGGTGAGTGTTTGTGACGTATCCACGCAACTCTTTCGTGAGCTGCGGCGTGTCCAATTTCGTCGTCACTCGTTTTGTAATACCACATTAAAATCCCTATAGTATTTCTGTCCTGTGCATACTTGTGTTATTTGTGGATGTTATTATAGTTGTGAAGGTGATAACGTTACTAAAACACACCGTTAATTTTGTCACGGGTTATTTTAGACAACGCATCGTTATACTCAATGCAATGTCTATTATTGTACGGTTGCAACGTGGTTATTACGTGTGTTATGTTGTTAGCGGTAATATATTGAGGTCTACGGAACCACTGGTAACCTTCTAATTGAATCTTCCCAGTTGATCTAAATCTTGATTTTACAGTATTATTACATAATTGACTAGAAAGCAGTTAATTATTAGTGTGTCAGTAGCTCGTCAATAAAATAAATGCCTATAAGAATTTAATTAATCGAGGTGAAGTAATAAATGACTTACAACTTTTATTGATTAATGAATAAGATTAGAAATCGGTACGATATTGTGATTAATTCGTATCCGTAACATATACGATAAAAAATAAACTTTATGCGTTTATGGTAGAGTGCATTATTGTAACACGAATGCAACAGTATCCAGTTTTTGAGTACCGTTGTCTGTGCAAAAGGCGTGCAAAAAATACGGCACAATGTTTTATCTTTCGAATGTACCGTAACGTACTTATTATACACATCCTCTTCAATCCAGCGATAAAATGTTTTACTAGACTCGATATTTCACTTTAACAAATTATATATATTTTCCGGTACCACAAATTTTAACGGTATTAAGACCACCAGATTGCACGTTTCAATTTGGGTATGGTTTATTTATAAAGAGACATAAAACATAATATTTATAGCCATACCTAATAGAAAATATAGAGAAACCTCTAAACGTCTTATAAATCAAACATTAACAACATTTTCTTTGTTTTTGCTGTTGTGAGTTATATTTAACATAAGTTTAGTAAACAACGTAATCTACGCTATAAGAATTTCGCTTTCAAGTTTTTAAATTCACTTTGTTTACTTTATCTTTACAAGGATGGCATATTTTAATAGTAAAAGAAAATTTGTTCTTTTTTCGAAACGTTTAATAAATTTATTTTAATAAGTTATCTGCCTAGATAAGCTAAATTTTTTTTTTTATGGTAATTAGTACTAGTGACAACCCTAGTTGGCGCGATTCGACATTAGGCAAACGTGGTTTATTTTGAGTACAGTTCAAGTATAGCATGCTATTCTTAGTCTCTAGTTACGTGCGCCTGAGCATGTTATTTGTTTGATATGAAATTATTGACTATACTGATATTATGAATAAAAGTTTAGACCTACCCAATACTTGTAGTACCAACCAGTCGGCAATTTTAGGCTTTGTTTTGTTTTTAGACACTTAATTTGATTCCTTTTAAATTTCTTTTGTGTTCTAAATTTCAATACCAAAAATAGTTAACTAACGGTAATTGTTAAGTATTTCCTTATTACTCGAGTCAATTGAAGATAGGTAAACCACCGTTTAAGATCATACGTTTATAATATTAGAAAATGACGTGTAAAATTGTACTGCTGAGTAACTGTTAGATTCTTGCCCACGCGCATTTTTTATCTTCACCATGATTTTTTAATGACTAATTCACTTTTTTCATAATATTGCACGATCATATATTATGTCGTCACCCAATTCAATGATGATGACCTCAAGTTTAATGACTCGGAATACTGTTATGGGAAATTGTTACAAACCTACATACACAAAAACGGTACATTTTATTCATTATTGACTAATTCATTGCACACTTTTTTTTTTTTTTTTGTAACGGTAGAAATTTGATATTTTAACTTTAACCCATTATTTTTAACTTAGGCTTAATTAAGAAATAGGCGTACGTTATATATGCTTGTAAATAATTGCACTGTAGAACTGTCCATTTTACAAAATATTTAGCTTATATTTTTAATAACAGTGACAAATGCAGCCAATAAGACATTTCTTTTTAAGCTGTCGTTTGTCTGTTGAAGTATCTATCTATAGCTCTCCACTTTCGAAACCATAAACCGGTATAGCAATCAAATGACAACTATTAGAGATTGTTACACGAAAATATCCAGCCACTCGTCTATCAAGTTCAAAAACCATAGAGTCCGATGAAAGTAAAATAAATTGCTTGAGACCGGTCGACGAATTATGACGACTGATGTGACAACACATTGTTTTTCTGATACGCAATACTTTCTACAGCTATTGACAGGCCTAGCGGTGCGCATTATCTGTATCGAAATGTTTAAAATGTTTTTTTTTCAAATGACAGATCCATTTGCAAACAATAGGCGCATAAGACTCTCCGTACACAAAGCGTAATTGTTTTTCCTCTGCACTTTTTTCCGAACGAATGCTCTACGGGAACTAGACAGTTTAAACATCAAGAATTATAAATGTTATTGTACGCTAGAAATGCTTAATTTATGCAACTTAAAATGGCAACCTTCAGTTTCTAACTTTGGTGAAAGTAATACAAACTCTAATTATCTACATTACTCCGAGATAAATTCATTCATGGTCATTTTTATAAAGCGATAACCTTTACTGAACCGTTACAATTTTTGATAGAAGTAATCTTAACGATTAATCTGTAAAGTTTCTATTAGATTGATTTGAAACTTTGATTGCCATAATACTTATTGCGTCAAACGAGTAGCCGTGCGACTGGCTGTATGGGGCAATGTCAAGAGCTTTGCCACAAAAAGAACATGATTCCATATTCAAACAGTAGACACGCGTGCGTTCAATGACGGCGACCATAGACAAGTCAGTTGCCTTTTAAGCGCATTAAAGTGGCCCTGCACTTTGTGTAATAGTTATCGCCGACCACCGTCTGTCTAAGTTCTATTTCGTAATCCTAATACGTGGATACAGTCGGTTTATTTTACAATAGATAGACATTTAACTGGACTAAGTTCTGTGTCCTGTGTAGCTTAATTAAAACTTGTCGTTTAATAGTTAATCTACTTACCACGCTTTCCCAACTGCCACCAAGAATTGTTTTGTCCAACATTTTGCAGCACTTAGTTTTCACTGAACAATCCTTTAAATCACAGAACTGTTTTGAAAGGATGATTTGTGTACAATTAAATTTTAATTTGTATACGATCACGTTGTCACTAAGGAATGCTATGATTTGGCACAGTGCACACACCGAGCTTTCCTGAACGACTGAAGCGCGTGAGTTTCAGCGTCATATTTATAGTGCGGGAGTTCGGAAAGAGGGCGGGTTTCAGGAAGACGGTTCGTTATTATCTTCCACTTAACACATAGTCACGCCTTCGTATTTTAAGGTACATGTAATATAGTTCGGGGAAGCCCGTCTAAAAGCGTCTGCCGCGAGGGGCGATGCATCCTTACGAGTTCTTGTTCTATGTCAAAACGCGTAACCAGGTAATACACAGTTCTTGGAAAGTCGGCTTAGCAGATAATGTTAAGTACAGAATGAAACAGAAAAAGCTTGCACATGTAATTCTATAAAGAAAAAGAATAAACACATTTTATATTAACTTTTCCCCAATAGTACAATTATTATTTTTTAAGACAACGCCACCAAACTCGTGGGGTCCATTGTTCTTCATATTGACTGAATCTACTACAGGGTATTTGGTACTATGCCTGTATTAATATAACCTAAATCGCCTAAATAAAGCGATGTTGCAGCAAACGAGGTGCACAGCGGTCTTTTGTATGGAGAGACATTACTCTTCTCTTCTTCCCGACCGAGCGGTACAAAGATTTGTAAGGCTGATTGTATTATAGGTCTTACAAATCTTTCTTAAAAACGATTATTCTGGTGTTTTACGATTGTAAGATATAAATATACATTAAACTATATCTAAATATGTTTCTAAACAACGCTACGATGAAAAATAGGTATAGCAATTAAAATAATAAAGTAATTATTACTATGTCTCAAGTTTCAAGTCATAAATATCTGACGGCTTGTGAAATCGTACACGTACTAATTAGAGGTTTATCACGAATAAAAGTTATGAGCAGGTCCCGTTAACAAAGCACAAACAAATAGAGATCGTCTAGCATAGACAATATAAACTGGAGATAATGAAGTTTCGTAACATGTAGACGAAATAACCTACTTTTGAAATTCGAACACAGTACGTACTGTTTTGTTAAAAAGATAATTTATATTCTTATTTGGAATCCTTTGAACTTTTTGGTGCGGTTTTAAGTGAATACAGCGTGTTTGTTTTACTTCCCTTACATGTTTTGTTTCATTAACAATTTTAACATCCATGAAAAAAAAGCTCAGTGAAAAGTGTAAATAAATAATGATGGCTATACTTTTCAGCTTCTTTTTTAATGCACTTACTATACATAGATTAACACACAAACTGTTTCACCTGTGACCAGTGCTTAACCAGTGGCTAGTGAGACCAGTGCTGAGACCAGTACTGAGAGTTACTCTCAATGACTACCAAAAAAACCTGCTCACAAAGATGATTATTATGTTCATAAGGCGATCTCGATAGGTACCTATGTTATTTTTTTTAGTTAAGATATCAAATAACTGATTGTTGTTCAATAAATTTCTCGAATCAAATTATGCCAACACAATTGAAAATTCAGGTGAAACAAACAATCTGGTTTGTGTTAACTGAAGGAAAATTCAAAATACTTTTGATATTACATTTCATTACGCATTATTGACGCATGCAGCCAACAATTTAGGTCAACGAAAAGGTTTTCGAAGACTGGTTTGTCTGATTGGCTGTAATGTTATACGGCGCGCGTCTCGTTCTTATCGGTTTGACAAACTGTCCACCGCCGACTCTTGTCTGTAATCGTCTTTTAAAATAATCTCATCAAGTCTTACGTGGACAGTTGTCGCGGACATAAGATTTTGACGTTGGAGGAGCGCCGGCGAATGCTAGATGTATGTTTTCTGTACGATATTGTACGAAATCGACTTGATTGTCCTGCATTGCTAGCAAATATCTACTTTAGTGTACCTCGAACACGAACAAGACATACCAGGCTCTTGGTTGCGCCCTTACGTTCTACAAATTATGCCAAGAACTCTGTTCTCTCCAGAATTATAATAACCTATAATACCGAATTTAAAGACATAGATTTATTCTCGAACAGTAAAAGTAGGTTTAAGACGCTTATAACGAACACGCTAGCGGGCACTCAAGCTAAAGTGTGATTGGGTTAAATGTGGATCTCGTTGGGTGGGATGTTGTTTCGCTTTTTTGGTTATTCTGAGGGCTATGTAATGCTATGTAGTATATTGTAGCGCACATACACACACACACATATGTACACGCACAACACACACACACACACACACGCATACACGCACAACACACACACATACACGCACCACACACACACATACACGCACCACACACACACCCTGTTCAGCATACTGCTTGCCTAGAATATTGTCTCACTGTTCTTTTAGTTGTAATTTAATTTATTAGTTTTAATATTTTATGTTTTGGCTTCAACTTTTATTTTTTTACATTTTTGCTGTGACAAAGTCTGGGCAATTTTTATTAAAATCAAAATTGCATACGTGGTTAACATTAATTGGTTTCACCTGATTATAGAAATTTAAATTGTAATATTTATTTTTAAGGACTGTTGTTAACCCTAATAAAAAAAAAAAAAAAAAAAAAAAAAAGTAAATCAATTGTCATCAATCATGCGTCTGACAACATGTCGCACAATCAAAGATATTGGTGTGGATTCCTATAAAATACGCAAAGGAGAAGTGTTTTGCATCATCATTTTTCTACACGACCATCAATTTAATATTTGATTCAAAGAAATATTTACATAAGAAGGGAATAATCCCTTCTAATATAAAGCAGTAAAGCTATAAAGCAGTAAAGTATTGTTATCCAGTAAATTAGATTTTAATTTTTAAGTGAATATTAAGCTTGTGCTGTACTCTCTTTCTCTCAATTTAAGAGCCAGGCCCTTGTCGGTGGAGCAACCGCCAATTCTCTCTATTTCCAGTGTGCATTACGAGTGTGGTATTCTAACTTTTGACTTGGGCTACGCTCGCTTTAAAGTCTATGCTACCCGTCAGGGTCAGTACTTTTTTCGGGAAAAAGATATCCTTTTTGTACACCTGATAAGGTGTATACAAAATTCTATCACGATCAACTGATCGTAGTTAAAGACTAAAAGCATAACAAAAAAAATCAGTAGCGCATTAATATTAGTTAGAATTGATCTTAACCAATCGAAATGACCCCTTGAAACGATTGAAAAACTTCAAGAGTGACAAAAGAGTCAGAAGAACAATTTGTGGATCACACAAAGTATTGACTCATGTGGGGACCGAACCCTCAACACTCAGCGCAGTAGGAAGCGGCGCGGTGACCGCTAAAATCACTACGCATTCTTAAGATAAAATTCTTTACTCTATTCTTCAATTACTAGATGTAATGGAAGAATAACACATGTTGCGCCGAACCCAAATAACATTGGGATAAGGGTAGGCAGATGATGATGTATTATGTCTGTTTAAGATTATCGAGTATTATGAAGTAAAAGATACACAAAATAAAAAAGTGTTTAACCTTGTATGTAACCTACCAATAATATGTACGCAGTCAGATTATGCCCTTATTAAATCCTAATCTGCAATAGTCCTTATTATTCTTTTCGCGTTGCTTCTCGTTGAACCTTTATACATATCGGGTTTACAGCCTTCTTTACGAGTGTATCGGCCGAAGTGTTTGCGTCGGTTGTCGGTGCACTCCTGCGCATTGACGTCACGTGCCGATATACATCTGAAACCTTAACATAAGCCGTAAACTGTACTCGTAAATAATATGCAAAGTGCACTTGAAGCTTTATTGAAAGTTCTGCGATCGATATTTGCTTAAATTTTATAAAGTTATGCGTAAAAAGTGCGTATGCGCATTTTGAAAACGAAATGTTAATTACAGCTTTAGTTACAGGATTTTAGAAGTAAAACAACCTCATAATATCCTTAAAAATATACATAAACTTTCAAACTTATTTTTATTTTGTAATAATAGTGTATTAACATACAATTAAAACTGTTATTATGTTACTGAGAGAAATACTAAGTTAAATATTCCCTGCATTAAATATAACACGTTTAGTCAATTTAACTCCGCCTCTATTTTTAGGCAATCTTACTGCCAATTATATTTAATTGCAAAAACTTTCACTCATGTTATTCTGAAAGGAAGATCCGCTTAGAGCTGTACTTAAGGATGTATACAACCAATTTTTACAATCACTACTATAACGAGCAGCGGTTCGCCTTTCACTGCCGACTATGTGTCAAAATGTTGTCTTGATACACCGTCTCATTAATCAGTTACTTTAATCCAATCAGATTTCTATAATTTTCCTAGAAAATCACGTAACAGAACCAAATAGTCTTGCAAAGCTATCGATAGTTGATCATTGAAGATGAGTTATCCCATCAAAAAGGTAGTCGATTGTATATGTACAATAGATAGTTATATGATAAAAAGAGTAATGAATAGGGGCATAGATAGAATCGAAGTTGATTGTAGTAATATCATTTTCATATATGTTGCATACTATGGATAGCGTTATAACTGTACATATTGTACCTACTGTCTCGAATAATTATCAAGAGTATTTCGTTAGCTATCGAATTTCAATTGAAGTTATCGATTTTTATACTTGTATAGTATCTGCGTAGTGTTGTCAACATCGCTATCGATGAAATCTTCATTACAATTCGTCTGTCATAGGCTGTAGTAAGGTAATGGACAGTTGATTATCGATCAGTAACACTAGCAGCCTCGGCCTGATTTTAAGTTTGTATTTTTTACTGCCGGTGAATAGGCAGTATATAGGCAAGAGTAATACTTTACCTTCGCAATATTTATTGGGCTTTGCGAATACGTTTACTGGTTTACGTGCGCTAGGCTTCTTAGGGCATGAAAGATTTGACCCAATTATTGTTTAAAACACAACGATATCTTCGTTTCTATTGATCAGCACACATGTTAATTATGTGCCAGACTG